CATTATTGCTAACTTGTTCAAGGGATCGGTCATCTTGATGGCTAAGAAGTTGAAAGACTTGGTAAGCCGATCAACAATTACTCATATGGCATCATGTCATAAGTGTGCCCTAGGCAATCCTATCACGAAATTTATGGTGATATGTTCCCACTTCCACTTCGAAATTAGTTATGGCTGAAATAATCTACTTAAACGTTGATGCTTTGTCTTGACCTGTTGACATACCAAACACTTAGAAACGACGTCAGCTACATCTCTTTTCATTCCGTTCTACCAAAATCGGGGTCGCATACTTTGATACATCTTAGTGCTTCCGGGATACATGGCAAACTTTGAGGTATGAGCCTTTGTCATGATCTCTCTTTTTAAGTCACTGTCACCTGGAACACACACCCTATCTTGGAATCTAAGTAAACCATCGGCAGAAACTTAAAATTCTGAATTAACTCTCTGTTTTGCATCTTTCTTGAGGGCTGCAAGGGTAGAATTAGCGGACTAAGCTTCCTTTATTCTCTGGATTAACTTTGGTTGAACAGTCAGGTGGCCCAAACATATGATTATCTTCATGTCTTAAAGTCGTACCTGTTGTGCAGCCCCTATCTGCCTGCATTCTGAAACCATCAAATGAACTAATGTACCTATATTTTTCCTGCTGAGTGCGTCGGCTACCACGTTGCCCTTACCTGAGTGATATAAGATGTCGCAATTATAGTCCTTGATGAGTTTTATCCACCTTCTCTGACGCATGTTAAGATCATTTTGAGTAAATATGTGCTTCAAGCTTTTATGATCGGTATAGATCTGAAAGGTCGCTTCATATAAATAATGGCGCCAAGTCTTCAAGGTATGGATAACTATGGCAAGTTCTAAGTCATGGGTGGGGTAGTTTTTCTCATGACTCTTCAACTGCCTAGACCCATAGGTTATGACCTTCTCATACTGCATCAAAACATGACCCAACTTTAGGAAGGAAGCATCACTGTCCGATCCGCTCGGCAAGGCCAACACAGGTGCAATAGTCAACTGTTTCTTTAGTTCTGAAAAACTTCTTTCGCAGTCCTCATTGCACTCAAACTTGACGTTCTTCTTTATGAGCCGAGTTAGAGGAGTATATAGGCTAGAAAATCCTTCAACAAACCTGCGGTAATAACATGTCATCCCCAGAAAGCTACGAATCTCCTCAATTAAGGTTAATTTTTCTTATCCAAGCACTGTTTTAACTTTTTCGGGGTTCACTGACACTTCATCATTTGATATGATGTGTCGTAGGAAGGTAGTTTGCTTAAGTCAGAACCTACACTTACTCAATTTCGCATACAGTTTCTTCTCTCTAAAAACCTGCAAAACCTAAGTCAGATGGTGAACGTGTTCCTCTCATCTTTTTGAATAAACTAAGATATCATCGATGAACACAATGATAAACTGATCCAGAAATTATCTGAAAACCCTGTTCATCAGGTCCATGAAGATGGCTGGAGCGTTGGTTAGTCTAAATGGCATGACCAAGAACTTATAGTATCTGTACTTGGTACGAAAGACTGTTTTAGGAATGTCTTATGCCCTGATTTTTACCTGATGTTAACCTGAACGCATATCTATCTTGGAGAAGAGCTGGACACCCTGTAACTAATCAAAGAGATCATTGATCCTGGGGATAGAGTATTTATTCTTGATCGTGACCATGTTCAAACCTCTATAGTCAATACATAACCTCAATGTTCTATCTCCCTTTCTTGCAAATATGATTCTAGCACCTAAATAAGACACAGTATGTCAGATGAATCCACTGTCCTGCAATTTAGTGAATTATTTCCTCAGTTCCTCTATCTCAACACGACTCATGCAGTAAGGAGCAGCTGAAATATGCTGGGTGTCTAGCTGAAGATCTATGGTGAATTCGACTTCTCTGTCCACTGGCAATCTATGTAGTTCATCGAGAAACACATCTGAAAAGTCTCGAACTACCAAAATCTCTTGAATACAAATTTCTTTCTTGGGTTTGTCTAGTTCGAGAAAACAATTGGGTTAAAGTACTTGATAATAAGAAAATTTGTCATTAGGGAATAAATGTTAAACGATTTTATTAATTTATAAATGAGTCCTTATTAGAAGAGTTGAATACAACATTCTTGCTAAAACAGTTCATCTCTAAAATTATATCAAAGTCCCTTGTGTCAATTTCTATTAGGTTCACACTCAATTTCTTATATGATATATATATGACACATGCTCTGTATACAACCTCCTTCAATAGTGTCCTACTCCAAAGAGTAGACACAAACAACACAAAATCAAGTTTTTTAGTAAATACATTTAATTTTGATACAAAAACATGTAAAACAAATGAATGCGATGCACCGGTATCAATCAAAACATGAGCAAAATGGTTACAGATAGTGTACATATCCTGTATCATGTGCGGGTTGGCTTCTACATCCTGTTGAGTGAGATTGTAAACCCTGCCCTAAACTAGGAGTCTGACTTGGTTCTAGTTCCTTGGGCACTCCCTTACATAATGTTTTGCGCTACCACTATGTGGCAGGTGTTGTTGAGGCGATAGTAAGGTTGGTCCCTATGATCCTTGCCACAGTGCTGATAGGTCTTACTGTATCCTGCTGCTGGAACCTAAGGGGGAGCCTGAGTCATCGGTCTGAGTCTCTTGTTCTGTTGAATAGGTATAGTAGGTGTTGGTCTGCGGTGTGGAGTCGAGGGTCTGGGGTTCCCTACTGCTGGAGGAAAAGTGCAGAGGTTCTTCTCCACTAACTATGCCTTGGCCAGAACAGCCAAGTAAGTACTGAGTTCGAGTACATACAACTATTATCTGATCTCAGGATGGAGACCCCACCGAACCTTCTAGCCTTGCTGCCTTCATCCATCAAGCTCTCAAGGGAATACCGGCCCAACTCTAGGAACTTGTGAGCATATTCTGATACAGTCATGTCCCTCTGAACCAAGTGTGCAAACTCCATCTCCTTCAAATGTTGGAGATACTCTAGAAGGTAGTCTGCATGAAAGGCCGTCAAGAACTGTTCCCAAGTGATTGGAATGGGAAGGGTGACCTGCTTGAGTTACCACCAGCATCTGCTTCTCCCACCAGCATATAGGTAGCAAGGATGACTTTCTATTCGAGAATCACCACAAGGATTGCGAAAGCCTTCTCTGTCTCAGCTAACCAGTACTCGACCTCTTCAAAGGAGGATCCCCTGCAAAAGTAGTCTGGGTCCATCATAGGAAGAGTTGGGTCCCGTGGAAGAGGGACTGGGCTCTGTTGAGGATTGACTGGATGACCCTGCGGTAGTACTTGATGATACGGTGAAGGCACCAGATTGTACTGTAATGGTGTCAGGTGATGCAGTTGGGGCACTGGGCTATATTGTGGTGGTGCCGGGTGATAATGTGGCTAGGGCACTGGATCATACTGTGGTGGTTCTAGATCTTCTTACTGCAGGGATGGCTCAACCTGTGGTAGCGGAGGAGGGTCAGGTAGCTCATTTCTTTCCTCTCGGGCTTGCTGGGCAACAATGAGTCTCTCTATCATCTCAAATAACTGGTCAACATTCTCTCTAAGCGAACCTTCCCGAGTTGCTCAGTTTAGTGAGGGTCTTCCTCTCCTCATCTATTTGTACCTGCATTTCATAAGGAATGGTTGAGTGATAATTCATTGTTTTTCATGTTTCATAAGGATTTTATGTAAGAAATTGGTCCGAGGAACGCGACTCTGATATCAACTGTAACGCCCCCAGAATTTCAAAGAAAACAAATCATAAATTAGGTGCGGAAGTGAAATGATTACTTAAGGTTTACATTCCTTACACAATAACTTAAAGTACCAAATAGTTCTACGGAAATTACCCTTTTGAAGGAAATATAAAATATTAAGGAAATAAACGAAAAATAAATAAAACTGGCATCCTACTCACAACCCTCTTGTGGATTGAGTTCTAGATCCTGATCATCTTGATATGAAATTGTTAAATAAAGATGGACTACACTAGCCCAGTAAGAATATCACACTATTCATCGATACAGAAATGAAGGTTGGTAGAAAAATCAAAACAATTAATGGAGCTCTTAATTAAATAAATTCATTTATCATAAATAAAATCTTTACCATCTACTTACCATAGTGAGATCTACAAAATAACTCATATAGACAATAACATAATACAGATCATGATTCCATATGTAATCGAATTGAACAACAATTTTATCTTTTATCAGCCTACTGGTATCCATGGGGGTTCATAGAGATGTTCTACAAAACGTGTGAACCATTTCCTTTAATATTTTCAATTAACGGGCTGTTCTCATACCCCATCCGGTATGAGCGTCAAACTACTAAACCTCAATACTCTATCTGCTATGAATGTGAAATGGGTCGTCCCCATACCCCGTCCGGTATGAGCGCCAAATTACCCAATCTCGATACCCCATCCGGTATGAGACAACGTTCACGGTAGGTTCTTTATGTACCCAGTTCGTCCACCATCTCCCAGGATATCCCATAAAGCTGTCGTTTCATCCATTCACTTAATCACGCAATTTTCTGTTTTCTTTTAATATTCATTTTTTTCCAATTCAACCGTAACATGTAAAATAA